TGCCTCGCTTCTGAAGGACCTGACTCGGAGGGACATGTCCTACCAAGGAAGCGTCCTCGACATTGAGAAACACCCTCTAACACACATGCATCGACTTCACAGAAGGCGGAACTTGTCATAAAGTCCGCGAAAATAAAGCCCACCCATTTAGAGGGAAGATATGATTGGTCAATTGTACTGTCATTTGACTTTACTCTCTCATTGAGTTACTGTAGCGGGTCCTCTGTGAATTTACAGCTGGACCACCATTCAGCTCCTGTCTTCACAGTAACTCCTAGGGACGAGCTTCTTTCATTTAACCCTTCACATTACAACAGAAACTAAATCAACTAAAACAATATTTAAAAAAATATATATTTAAAAAAAATGTTTTAAAATATTATTATATTATATCTTAGAGAGGGCCCTGACGGCTCGCCACTGGTCTTCAATTTTCTCACATTATTAGTGACAGCTGATATGACCTGCTGCTAGAAACAATTGTCACTTTAACCAATTACCATTACCCAGCAGGAAGCCACAATGGGTTTTTGTTGTACACTGCTACTCTTTGAAGAAAATTAACCTTTATTTATCCCCCTAGGGTGAAATTCAGTTTCTGTGCTATGGAGAAAGACAGCATTAGGGTGTTTGTGTGTGAAACTGTTATCCAATCCATCAGCTACATTCAGCTCGGATCTCTACTCTTGATGGAGGAATTATACAGAATGATGAAAGGTGACAGTGTTACTGCAGAGAATAGCCAAAATATATGTAGTGGATTTCAAAATATGTTAGGAAAGGAAGACTTACCAAATATGCTTCATATGCACTGGCTGCTATTTCTTTCTCCTGGTCTGTCACTCCAGGGGACGATGAGCTGTCATGCTTTGCTTCGTTTTGTTCTGATCAAAATGAAAAAGAGAAACAAATGTCAAGGTTACATAACATCACACTTAAATAGAGGCTTGACATTAAAATGGAGATCTAAACACATTGTCATGTTGGTGGAACCGCTTTAATATGATGTGTGATTTGTGAATGGAGCATTTGTGGACTGTAGCCATAAGGAATGGGCACTGTTTGGCATTCAAACAGTGCAATTACATCTCACTGACAAGGGTTGGGAGGGAATTTGGCCACACTGCTTATACTGGTAGCTCTCTCTAAATGCTGGCCCTACCGTCCGCATGTGGCAGCAGAAATCAAGCTTGGTCCAGTTGAGGTGAACCTGCACTACAGCCCCTGTAACCCCAGCTTCCTGTTCTGATCTGACACTGGAGCCTGCGGTCCACTTCAAGGATGATGTTGTGCTTTCAGAGATGCTCTTCTGCATAACACTGTTGTCCCATCTTGTTAAAAGAGTTACTGTTGCCTTCCTGCCAGCTTGAACCAGTCTGGCCAGTCTCATCTGATCCCTCTCATTTTTGCTCACAGAACTTCCGATCAACAACAGTCTGATGTTGTTCACACCATTCTCTGTAAACTGTGAAGACTATTGTGGTTAAATCAGCACATACTAAACTACCAACAACTAGACCATGCTCAAAGTCTCTTAGATCACATTACATAACATTTAGCTGACGCTTTTGTCCAAAGCGACTTACAATAAGTGCATTCGACCAAGAAGATACAAACTTGAAGAAAACAGAATCATATAAAGTACATCAGGTTTCATAGAGCCAAAACATTTCAAGTGCTACTCAACTGGCTTTAGATAAGCCAGTCCTTTATTAGCATATAAGTGCTTTGTTAGTAATTCTTTGTTAGCAATTCTATCGCTCGAAGTGGAGTCGAAAGAGATGAGTTTTCAGTCTGCACATATATTTCAGTCTATATTATCTTCAAAGTATATTACCAGTTTTCAGTCTGCTCATATCCTCTCAATTATAATGTTTGGTCTGAACAACCACACATGCTTTACGCATGATTGGCTGAGTAGATATTACACACTAAAGAGAAACATGTACTTGTGTAGTAATTTATACAGTAGCACTGAGTGCAACTCCACATGACGGTATGTGACAGTTGGCGGATTAATTGAGAATTAAAAGTGACATTTTAAGAAAAAGAACATTAACAGTTTATCACATCTTTAAATCCTCTTTTTTATTCAGAATGCATTAATTGATTTGAATAAAATGAACGTCTCAGCCGTTGCCTTGGTTCACCCTGACAACGCTAACTGTTAGCATATCTGTTAGCCTGATCACTGATGTGGGATTAAACTACATATTCTTATTATCGGTACTCGGCCAATTATACGACAGCCGTATTTACCAGCCTGGAGACGTTAACGCTGGACGTCTGAAGACATGTTCATGTCCTTAATGTTTTCCACTGAGAAAAAAAACTTCAATGCGACATTTGTGAATGAAGTTCTGCCTGAACGTGTCTTTGGGCAACATGCATTCGGCTAGGCTAACGTTTACGTTCACGGGCGCTGTAGATAAACCAAGTCTTATTAGGCTACACAGCACGTCTCAAACTAAGGAAAAGCTGAGCATTAGGGTGAACATTATCCTCAAAGTATATTACCAGTAATTAATTTGAAAATGTGCGTTAAAAGTGTATTAGCTTAAATTGACCATATCTAGCTACGCAGCTAGCATTAGCTAACACACTCACCTGTATTTTCTGCCATATCTGTGGCCTTTTCGAGGTTAGTTAGAAAACCTGTATATGTCGGGTCCGTTGAGATTGGATTTAATTCCGTTGATTGGCACATGTAACGTTGGAATTATCAGTGAATACCTTATCATCAGTGTTTCACACAGAAGATGGCTAGTGTCCGCTCTAAACAGATTCTTCTTCGGCGTTGCTGACAGTTTGCAACAAACGGGTTATATCGCAACAGCGCCCCTGCTGTTATGCACATGTCAGCACAGTTTGAAAGAGCATTCTTCATATCATTCCTATTTGTCAATATAATATTTAATATCCGATAAATAATAGAGAGAGGTGTGTTTCTGGCAAAAAGACAGTTCTCTAGTCTAGCACACAGCCAAGATACAAATCACAATGTATCATATTCAATAAGATTACAATGTATCGTGTTAGCTGTTCTGTAACAACCAGGTACCTCTCCACTAATCTTTTCATGATTTTCTCCGAAAAAAGCCTTTTTTTTCGACAAAGAGTTTTCAGCTTACTTTCTGTAGGCCTATTTAAATTAATGAGAATTGCATATATTCAGTGAACACATGGGCACCTGTAACCAGTGTTATCACGCCTTAGATGTCGATTTGTGTGTGATAGATAAATATATTTTATAGATAATGCATCAATCTTTAAAATTATCAGGGTTTACACATCATGTATTTGATATGATTTACAACGAGATCAAACAATTAGATTTGAAGTAAGAATGTAAAACTTATATGCACTTTACATGACCAAATGACAAACCGTCACACATTAACACATGTGTACACAGATACCACTTAGGTAGGAGATTAATTAAATAACATATTAAACAACACTGTGGTCTTTGTACTGTGTCAGAAGTGGGTGTAGACGTAAATCTATAAAAAGCAGAGAGAGCAGAAGATACCTGTTGCTGCTGCTGCTGTGGGGAGGGGGCTGCCGTAACGACAGACTGAGAGGGAAGTTAAAGGTGGGGTAGATAACTTTGAGAAATCGGTTCGAGATACACTTTTTGTTATATTCCATGGAATGCTCTTAACATCCCGATAGCAATGAATATCTTAAGTGCTTTGACAACAAATCCATAAAAAAATGTCATCTGTGGAAGCCGTAGTAGGCTACTGTTAAAAGCACGACCTACCACGACCCAGCGCCGTATAGACTGAGAGTTATGTCATCTCCGTTCACTCCAATGGACCACTTTTTTACAGCAATGGCGGATCGTGGAGCCTCTCAATCGTTCCCCGGAAGTTAGCGCCAAGGCTAGCAGAGCTGTAGAGTTGCAGCATAATAGACCGTTCGTGACGGACTTTTAAAGGTAAGAAGAAGTTTAAAGATGTATATTGCGGATATTATCAGTACATCTGATTCAAATTAACATGTGTATTAAAGGATGTCAGTGGATTATCCCTAAATTAGTAGATTTAGGGAACGTTTACAGATAACAGATAAAGCTAGGATTCCGGATCAAGTTAGCAACACACGTTGAACAGCCTTTTAATTCTAAATTCCGTTCTCTTAATGTCATTTCGTCCGACGTTGTTGAATTAGAGAAGAGGGGCTTCTAAAATGGATTGTATGCGGGGGTGGAGGGAGTTAAATATTAGATCAATATAACTTTGGTGCGTGTAAGAGTGAGTGTTTTTAGCAGAGCCATATTGTGTCCTTGTGATTATGTTGATTATTACCCGTCTGTATAATGTTGCAGCTCAGCTGATTTTGGATTGATGGCAAAGGGAGAGGGACTTAAGTGAGAGTGAAAACACAAGGTAAGTTTAATACTACTGTTTTATATAAGTAAGCATACTAAACATGTATTCTATCACTGTATTATATAAGTAATCTTGTTAGTAACCTACTGTATGGCAGGTGGAGGGGCAGTGATGTTACAGGTGGAGGAGCAAAACTGCAAGACTGCAAACTCACAAGACAGAGAAATCAAAGTTTGTTCTCCAGAGAAGAGGTTGATTTCACTTCATTTATTTCATATTTTCTAAAGATGTGGAAATGGCAAAAAAAAAAACTTGAGAGCTGTAACCAAGACAACTGTAACAACATGAGTAGAGAGCCACCAAGGTTTTTCAAGTCCCTCTCTTACTCCATTTTGCCAACCCAAACTTCCAGGTACATGACGGGACACCTTGCCTGTTTTTGTTGTTTGCGCTCCTCTGGCTGGGTGCTGGCAGGTGGAGGGCAGTGATGTTGGCAGGTGGAGGGGCAGTGATGTTACGGGTGGAGGGCATTGATGTTAGCTGTTACACACCAGGCTCAAACTTAACACATTGCATCCTTCTTTGCAGTGTCCTTATTCCTGGAAGGGGAATCTGCAATTCCTGCAGAGTTTTGTAACCCGTTGGTCCGCACGCAAAGCGAATTTTTAAAGCCTTCTTAATTGTCTCATTGCTCCATTTCATCCCCTTTGTGGTGAGTCTGCCTAATGCCTTAAGTTGGTCTTTTNCGATTAGATTTATGAATTATAAAAGTAGGGCAGACATGTGGATATTATCCGGCTGAACAAAATGTGCATTTATCTAACAGGTTCGTTTTCCACAGACCTAAGGTCTGTGGAAAACGAACCTGTTAGATAAATGCACATTTTGTTCAGCCGGATAATATCCACATGTCTGCCCTACTTTTATAATTCATAAATCTAATCGATAGATTTATGTTCAGGCCTAAGTCATTTTCAATGTGGGCCGCCGTGCCGACTTAATTCATTTGTAATTGTTACTTGGCTGTGGGTGCCCTGTCATGATAGGTGTTTATATAAATGGTGTTGTTCTGTGTGGTAGAGGGTCGCTGTCATTGATGCGTTTTGCATCCCGGGCCGTTGTTTTGATATTCCGCTGAAGTATACGCTGTGACGTAATAACTCTTATTTGTATTTATTTTTTCGAGGGAAGTGGGGGGGTCAGAGGGCCTAGGTATAAAAGTCAGGGCTCGCCACTGTTGATGACGGAACAGACATAAACTCATCTGTGGTCTGGTTTAGGTGTTGTAACAATGTGTGTTTCTGTTTACCTTAACCCTAATCTTATCTCTAACCCCAACCTTAACCTAACCCTAATATACCTACCTTACCATAACATCATTTAAGCCCTTATCCTGTTGGAAGGATGGGGTGCCACTGGAAGCGCTCTTTAAATCAGGAAAGGATCATTAACTGAAGGGAGACAGTGAAAACTCTGTAGACAGTCAAATATCTTGTTTACATGTTCACACTTCACACGTTTATAAGAGACTGATCCCTTTCACGTAGTGCAGGTGGCAGAACACTAAAGCACTTAATGTGAATTATTTGCAAAAAAGTCTCCAACAAACGCACTATTTTCTCCTTTTTAATGTAAAACAAAGTCTTTGTTTGCTAATCATTTAATTTCAATCAGAAACAAATGGTTTATAAATATATACTGTTGCATTGGCTGAAATATTCCTTTACTCTGGTCAACATGTAGTTTGTTTGAGACTCATCTTGTTATTGTTGTTATAGACACGTTATTATTGTGTTGGACAGACATGGAGCTACTCAGAGATAACTGTCAGAAAAACACTTCGCAAGAAGAAATGATGTCATGTTGTTCTTCACAGAGTGGGAAGTACGACGAGTCACTCAAACACCTGGAAACCCTGCAGGAGCTCAACAAGGAGGACTATAAGATCGCTATGAACAAAGCCGTCGTAGAGTTTTACAAAAGCAGTCAGACTACAACAGGGACTCTGAAGCAGACACTAATGGCAATGAAGAACCAGGTAACTGCTGAAACTTGGGTCATAACCCTGTCATGTTTACAGGGCGCGTTGGGTCAGTTTTCAGTATAAGTTGTAGACTAACAGTGCTTCTTCCTGATGTCTCGCATTTCTTCTCACATCACTCATTATATCTCAGGTTCACACATCGGCAGAGGACATTGATGGGTTGGATGATGTAGAAAATAGTTGGTTGTACTATAATCAAGCCATCATCCACTATCACATGCGACAGTACTCAGACGCCATCGCAATAGGAGAGAGGCTCTACCAGTTCCTGGAACCGTTTGGTATGTTCTGCTGTTACTACTGACAATATTCCATAAAACAGCTGGTTGATCACCCAACTGCCGATCCATTGTTCTCCCGATTCAATCTCAAGGACAGAATCATTCAATATTTGATAAAACTATATAAACATGTCAGTGTTTCCCCTAGGTTTACTGCTTTGGGGGGGTGCTGCCTGAGCGGGGTGGGGGGTGGCATTGGGATATATTATTATTGTTATTGTTTAATGCATCAGTGTTTCTTAGGGTCATAAACACTAAACTCACAACTTAAAATGAAAGCGTTTAGTTTATTTAATAAAAGAGCACATGTTCAATGTGAAAAGTGACAGTAGATATAGATTATTTGCAATTTGGTGCTATATATA